TTGTGTTGGTCTTACAAGTTGAAGCGCAAAGTAGTACAAATTTGGCGCAAAACTCGTAATGTTACTCTATTATTGCCATATTAAACCAATTTATATAAGTTTACGTATATGAACGATAATATATGCAAGGATTTATTAGAGTAATATTAATATGGATTCAAATGATTCAACGTAAAGCTTTGAGTCAATTTTGCCAACTATCCGAATGCTGACGTCATCACCTAATTCGGATACATGACGGAAAAAGACTGGTTATATTTAGTTAGTGTAGTTAATTCCTTATTTAATCTACCATTCAAGTATTGTTCACAGTTCCGTTTTGTTTATTAGTGGAGTTCAGCAGTGTGAGGGTGGCGGTGAGTGACGTCAGTTCAGGGTAGCAACAGCGTCAAATTCTCAGCTGACGGGACCTTTAAATGCCAGCAGGAGTTAACGTGTGGTCGATGTGGCAATATATTTTACTCCACAACTGTACTACATTGACGTATGGTGTGTGTGTTAAGTTTGTGGGTTTTTTTTTTCTATATTTCTCAACTATAAACATACGTAGGTGGTAACGAGTTTAAACTGTATCTTATTAGTAATCTTCCTAATAAAAATTTCTAGTGTATGTGTATTGAATCGTAAAGTTGACGATGGTATATAGAGGGAAGGATCCAAACACCTGACCTCCCCTGACGTCCTCTGAGTGACAACTGAGAGCCAAATGTACTCACTCTACCCTACCATACCTTGCTCAATCGACTCAACCAATCACAAGCCCGCATCTGAGAATATGGGAGGTACTTATTTCCGATCACCTGAAGAATAGACACCCTAGTTTATTCTACCTAATAATTAACTGACCTAAAATAATGTTAGGGAGGTGAGGTTAGGTTAATCCATATCAAATTACATAACTTAAGACACACAGGCGTAATTTGGGCCATGGCATCATAGGGGAGGAGAGTTGGCCGGGTCGTCATGGGAAACCTCGAGTATGTGTGTGTATGTGCTCGCCCCTATGATGGATGCTCATGGTCGTACTTGACTCCTGACCCATTAGTTGGTTACCATTATTGAGTAAGACTTGAGAGAGAGAGAGAGAGAGAGAGAGAGAGAGAGAGACTGGTGTGTGTATGTGTGTGTGTGCCTGTGATGAAATCTTACGTGAGAGGGTTTTAGTCGTCCGTAAGACACACACACACACACACACAGACACACACACACACAGACGCCAACAATAACACAGGCCAGCATTACGGCGCAATTGAGAGTATACTGTATAGTGACCTCTCTCTCTCTCTCTCTCTCTCTCTCTCTCTCTCTCTCTCTCTCTCTCTCTCTCTCTCTCGTGACTATATAGAGATATGCGGCGGAGGAAAAGAGATATCCCTTTACATCACACTACTGCGTCACATTACTGCGTCACACTGGTGTCACACATTACCACGTCAGTCACACAACCGCGTCACACTGCGTCACATTAGCACTTCATTCACACTGCGTCACATTAGCACTTCATTCACACTGCGTCACATTAGCACTTCATTCACACTGTGTCACATTACCACGTCACACTGTCACATTACCACGTCACACTGTCACATTACCACGTCACACTGCGTCACACACCGTCACTAAAACTCAGTGTCGCAGTTCCGGCCCATTTTCCGACCTTCAAACGGTAGTCTTAGTATAATATTGACGCCATTTTCATTATTATTATTAGTTGTAGTAGTAGTAGCAGTAGTAATAGTAGTACTAGTGTCATTATTGTTATTTATTATTATTATTATTATTATTATTACTGTTCTTGTCATCGTTATTATTTTTATTATTATTATTAAAACAAAATACGGACAAAAAAATATAAATAAATAATAAAATAAATTGACATCTCTCCGCCTGAGCAGTTAGTTCGCCACTAAATTACCTTATCATCACCATGAGGTCAAATATCTCGTCTTCTCGGTCAACCTGTGCCAAATACACCCTGGGGTCAGGTGTGTGAGGGTGTGTGGGGGTGTGTGGGAGCGTGGGGTGGGGGTGTGTGGGGAGGTAGGGGTGTGTGGGAGCGTGGGATGGGGGTATGTGGGGAGGTGGGGAGGTAGGGGGTGGGAGCGTGGGTGGGGAGTGTGGGGAGGTAGGGGTGTGTGGGAGCGTGGGGTGGGGGTGTGTGGGGAATGTTGGGAGGTAGGAGAATGTGGGGAGCAGAACCTTCTTATAAAATAATATTCCTGACAAATATCACATAATTATATCACACAGTTGTAAATATAATAATACAGTACACTACAGAATAACCTCTTAACCTAGATACAGCCTGTAACTGTAGCTAAGGACAGACTACAGCAGTTATCACCCGGCCGTGCGTGGTGAGCCTGCAGTCTCACGTACGCCGTCCTCACTCCCTCCCCCTCTCACACACACACACCATGGCGGATTTTCACGTTCTTCGTGGCCTCTGTTGAATTTATGGAGGAATATACGTATGGTGGTGATAAAGAGATATTTAACGGGAGGTAGAGTGGGTGTTGGGGGGGTGGGGGAGGAGGGGTGTGGTAGTGAGGGACAGTAGACTAGTGTGGTGGGAGAGGGAGGGAGGGATCCTGCCAGCCACCCGCCATGGTTACGTCATCATCATCACGTGTTCACTCCCTCCTGATCCTCACTCTGGCAATGGCATCGGCTCCGTGTTCTGCTTTTTTTTGGCTCTAAATAATTAATCTCCTTATCTTTTTTTGTTTTTAGGGTACTGTTGCGAAATTAAATCATAAGAGTAAACCTTAGGTGTTTATGAAGCAGTAGAGGAGACCAGACATGTGTAGCGTCACTCTTCGCCCTCACCTACTCCGAGTGAGGGAGACAAATGAGCCGCGTGGTTCTTGGAAAGCCCGTGTGACTAATTCGACAGGTAGACTTGTACGTCCGTGATCATACCTCGGGCTGAGTACTCAAGTGATTCACGGTGATAATTCTCTCCTGCAACACCTTTATGAACCCCCCTATCCCTCATCCCCCTCCCCCCCACACTCGGACGCGCCCCTCCCACCACAACTAGGAAAGACGTTTAACTTCCAAAAAAAAAACCAAATCGCCACACTTTTTACGCGGTGGTCTAATCAATATTGTTTAAGTATGTATCACTTACCTGCACTGCGGTGGATGACGTGTTGGGGTGGGCCAGTTTGTTTGTGGTAAATGGTTTAAACGGATAAACAGAGGTTGACAAAAGTTGAACAGAGATGACAAGCTACAAGCAGCCAGCCATGGGAAGTGTTACCAAGTGGTACTACTGACGCGGCACTGAGGGAGGAGGGTGGTATGAGCTGACCACTTAACTCGTTTCTTCCATTATCTCTCTATTTATTCTCTTCATCATTACCGATTACTATCTTATATACCAGATAAAACTAGTCCTTACTGATAGCTTCTTTTAAAAGGTTACACGGGTGATAATTGTATGGCAACAATGCTTCCTCTTCTTCCTCCTCCTCTGTGATAATTTGAATAATTTTTAGTGTTCATAATTCAGTTTCTTCTTCTGATTACATTCTAAATTAATTATTAAAATTTTTTTTAGTTACACACGAGAAGAAAACTAAGAAGTTATTATTATTATCATTATTATTATCATTATTACTAATATTAACACAACAAAATCATTATAATTATCTTTGGTTCACTAGGTCAGGGACACATCAATATCTCTCTCTCTCTGTCTCTTGCACGGGAGATAATCAATGAGGGGGAGGGGTAAGGGAGAGGGAGGGGGTAGGGAGAGGGAGGGAGGGGTTAAAGAGGGAGGAGGGAGGGAGGGGAGAGGGAGGGAGGGGGTAGGGGGAGGGAGGGAGGGGTGGGGAGGGAGGGAGCGGTTAGGAGAGGAGGAGGGTTAAAGAGGGAGGAGGGAGGGAGGGGTTAGGGGGAGGGAGGGAGAGGGAGACTAGTAAGGGAGAGGTAGGGAGGGAAGAGGGGTGAGGGAGAGGGAAGGGAGGGGTAGGAGGCCAAGGTCACGAGGTTCAGTACTTAAGACTCCTTGAGTGCCATAACTTAGCCCCTTGAGTACGATGACTTAACCTCTTTGAGTACGATGCCGTAGTCCCTTGAGTACGATGCCGTAGTCCCTTGAGTACGATGCAGTAGTCCCTTGAGTACGATGACGTAGTCCCTTGAGTACGATGACTTAGCTCCTCTAGAGTATGTTTTCTTAAAATCACCGTACTCAGGGGTCAAGACATCGTACTCAAGGGTCAAGACATCGTACTCAGGGGTCAAGACATCGTACTCAAGGGGTCAAGACATCGTACTCAGGGGTCAAGACATCGTACTCAAGGGGTCAAAACATCGTACTCAAGGGGTCAAAACATCGTACTCAAGGGGTCAAAACGTCGTACTCAAGGGGTCAAAACATCGTACTCAAGGGGTCAAAACATCGTACTCAAGGGGTCAAGACATCGTACTCAAAGGGATCAATACACCGTACTCAAGGTGGGTCAAACGTCGCACTAAGGGGTCAAACATCAATTAAGGGTCAAAGACGCATCTAAGGTTAAACATCGTACTCAAGGGGTTAAAATAGATTATCTTCCTCCCATCCACTCTCCTCCTCCTCCTCCTCCCTCCTCCCTCCACCACACACCACCCGCCATCCACCCTGCACCACACACTCCCCACACTCTACCACACTCTTCACCACACACCACCGCCACACACTCCTGCACCACACATTCCACCACACTCTACCACACACCTCCACCACACTCTACCACACTCTTCACCACACACCACCTGCCACCCACTGCTGCACCACACTCCACCACACTCCCACCCCACACCCACCACACTCCACCACACTCTCACCACACACCACCGCCATCCACTGCTGCACACACCCACCACACCCCCACACACTCCCACCACACTCTACCACACCTCCACCACAACCACCACATCCACTGCTGCACCACACACCCACCACACCTACCACACCCACCACACACCACCTGCCATCCACTGCTGCACCACACACCCACCACACCCACCACACACACCACACCACCCACACTCCACCCACACACCCTGCACCCCACACCCACCACACTCCCACCACACACTCCACCACACACACTCCTGCACCACACACTCCACCACACACTCCACAACACACGTACCACAGTTAAAGCAGACGAGATCACCGAACAATGGTATAATATGACTGTATTCCATTGTGTCTAACCTAACGTAACCTAACGTAACCTAGCGTAACCTAACGTAACCTAACGTAACCTAACCTAACCTAACCTAACCTAACCTAGCTTAACCTAACCTAACCTAACATAACATAACCTAACCTAACCTAACCTAACCTAACAAAAGAATGAAAGAAGCAAAGAAAGAGAGAAATGAAAGAATGAAAGAAGGAGTGAATGAAAGAATGAATGAAAGAATGAAAGAAAGAATGAATGAAAGAATGAATGAATGAAAGAATGAATGAAAGAAAGAATGAATGAAAGAATGAATGAATGAAAGAATGAATGAATGATAGAATGAATGAAAGAATGAAAGAAAGAATGAATGAAAGAAGGAATGAATGAAAGAACGAAAGGAAGAATGAATGAAAGATTGAAATAATGAAAGAAGGAATGAAAGAAAGAAAGAAAGATTGAAATAATGAAAGAAAAAAAGAAAGAAATAATAGAATAATGAAAGAAAGAAAGAAAGAATGAAAGAAGGAAGACTAGAAGCATGACCTCGCTGGCCACACACCCAGGAAGGCCTCCACCGCTGTACTAACTTTTATATGCAGTATATTTAGGAGGGTTGCAGGTACTGTCTGTCTGTCTGTCTGTCTGTCTGTCTGTCCGTCTGTCTGTCGTTCGTTCGTTCGTTCTGTCTGTCAGTCTGTCTGTCTGTCTGTCTGTCTGTTCGTCTGTCTTGTCTGCTTACGAGTTTGTCTGTCAGTCTGTCTGTCTGTCTGTCTGTCTGTCTGTCTGTCTGTCTGTCTGTTTACGAGTTTGTTTGTCAGTCTGTCGTGTTATTTGTGTTTATATGAGTAAGTATTCGTGTTTTGTGGAGCTGTCTGTCTGTCTGTCTTTGTCTGTCTGTCTGTCTGTTTACAGAGTTTGTCTGTCTCGTCTGTCTGTGTTATTTGTGGTTTATATGAGTAAGTATCTGTGTTTTGTGGAGCTGTCTGTCTGTCTGTTCTGTCCGTTCGTCTGTCTGTCTGTCCGTCTGTCCGTTCTGTCTGTTATATGGCTGTATGTCTGTCTGTCTGTCTATGGCTGTATGTCTGTCACTTTATGAGGTTGTCTGTCTAATTCTGTCTATTTATGTGTTACTCTGTTTAATTGACTGTATGTATGACTCTTCTCTCACCGCGTGACATCACAAATAGTCTTTAAAGCTGAAGTCAGAAGAGTAAGAACCGGATGGCCCAACTCTCCTCCCTCTCCTTCTTCTCCCTCTCCTCCCTCTCCCTCTTTTCCCTTTCTTCTTCCTTCCTTCTCCCTCCAGCTCCCCATTTCCTCCTTCCCCCTTCCTTCCTTTCCCTTTCTCCTTCTCCCTTTCTCCCTCTTCTCCCTTCGCTCCTCCTCCCCTTTCTCCCTCCATCTCCCCTTTTCCTCCCTCCTTTCTCTCCCTCCTCCTTTATCACTTCCTCTCCTTTCTTCTCCCTCTCCCTCCTTCTGTCACTATCTCTTTCCCTTTCCTCCCTCTCCTTCTTCTCCTTTCTCCCTTTCTTCTCCCTCTTTTCCTAATTCCTTCTTCATCCTCTCTCTCTCTTTTCTCCTCTCCCTCTCTCTCTACCTCCTTCCTCCCTCTCCTTCTCTCTCCTTCTTCTCCTTTCCTCCTTCCTCTAATTCTCTCTGTACGACAGGTGTCAGAGGTGTGTGTCGAATCATGACAGATGTCGTGTCAGAGCCATTACCTACATCTGTCGAGAGAGAGAGAGAGAGAGGAGAAGGGAGATTAAAATGAATAGGAAAAGTAAGAGAGAGAAAGAGACAGACGGACAAAGAGAAGCACAGACAAAGAGTGAGAATGAGACACTGAGAAATCATAAAAAAAACTATTTGTTTTCTTGTCCTTTGTCAGACGAGTTTGTTTGTTTCTTACAGTTAAGTTTCCACACTGTTATTATTATTATTATTATTATTATTATTGTTGTTATTATTATTATTATTATTATTATTATTATTATTATTACTATTGTTATTATTATTATTATTATTATTATTATTATTATTATTATTATTATTATTATTATTGTTATTATTATTATTATTATTATTATTATTATTATTATTATTATTATTATTATTATTATTATTATTATTATTATTATTATTATTATTATTGTTATTATTATTATTATTATTATTATTATTATTATTATTATTATTATTATTATTATTATTATTATTATTGTTATTATTATTATTATTATTATTATTTATTATTATTATTATTATTATTATTATTATTATTATTATTATTGTTATTATTATTATTATTATTATT